GACACACACACACACACACACACACACACAGACACGACACACAGACACACAACACACACACTCACTCACACTCATTTATGTAACGGAGTAGTCGATGTAACGTACAAGAGTAAGTCATATCATACGGCCTCTACCAGGCTTCGAGAGGTGACTGGAAAGAATAGAAATTGGCCAAAAAGAGAGATAGTATGCCCTCCAGCGGACCAACTCCCGTTATATTATCTCCATATTTGGCCGGTATGGCCACTTTCTAAAAACATCCAGTTGTACCAGAAAAATACATCGGACTTACGTCCACGATATGCCTGAGCGGATGGCGTTCAGCACCAAGGACAGGAACCTTTATTGTTGAAGTGGCACACGCATCCATTTGTTACTTGTAGGTTTCGTTGTTTTCTGTAGTTTGCTCTGCTTTTTTTTATGAAGTCAGTATGTATGTTCGGAAACTCAATTGAAGGAAATATCGGTAAACCATCTCAATAGAAAAAAAATTGGGGCCTTTGCATATTGTGTTACCTGTGATTCGACATTGAAGTTGTTCTGTAGCAATATCAACATGTCCGGCTCCAAACTATAATAAGGATCCATTGTCAACCTTCAGATTGACAATGCACTTAGTCCAACTGTAAACATATTATAAATAAAGACAATAAAGATAGTGTTTTGCTTTTTCCTTATATTCATACACTGAATCATTATGTGAGTTGGAAATCAACTGTAAACATATTATAAATAAAGACAATAAAGATAGTGTTTTGCTTTTTCCTTATATTCATACACTGAATCATTATGTGAGTTGGAAATCAACATACAGTGGCAGAAATATTCAGAACAAGCACAACAATGAGCAATTTATCATTACAAAGATATATTTATAATAGTTTCTGTGATGCAATTTGAACTGCGATTTCAATGTTGCAATGTAAGGACAACCATTTCTGCTTGCATTGCCTGCAAAGATACCTCAGATCTCTATCCAATAATTTCTGATTAGACTCTATTCAATACTATCTTGGCATCACAAAGACAAAATGGCACAAGCATACTCACTGATAACAGCAACTCAACTTCATATTAGCTTTTAACATGTCAGGTAAGAATATAATATTCCCACCATCACATGGAAGAAAGTAAACATAACTCAGCCATATTAGCTTGAATCCATTCCCACTGATCACTAGCTAACAATTCTCACATCCATATAAGAATTTCTCATCTTTCCAAGTTGCTGCTCGTGATTTCATAATTATCATGCTATATTTTACACAAATGTAATACAATGTATATATTATGGTTTAACCTTACTCCTATATTAATAATGGCTTATGTATTTATTATCTCACTGGAGAATATCAGAAAATAATTTCTAGTAATTTCAAGTGTCTAACTTTTAGCTTATTTCACACAATCTCTTTACATTTGTTTCGTATCAAACTTTTCATTCATCTTTAGCATCCAAAAGGTTGACAATTTCAACAAAAGTACAGAAATAGTACAGTCTTGCTTGCAACTTTGGTAACAGGATGCCCAGATTATCACAACACACAGGTGAGGGCCTGCATGCCCTATTCTGTAAGTCGTAATCCTGCCCTCTTAACCTTCGTAATCTGTAGGCAGCTGCCCAAAATCATCGTAATTCATAATCAGTACATTAGCCTTACATATAATTGTCCGTAATCAGCTCAGAGAACTTACGTAATCGGCAGCGTCAATTTTGCGTAATTTGTAATCACCCCCCCCCCCCATGCAGGCCCTCACAGGTCACTATGTTTATAATGACACCTATTAGTATCTTAGTCTACATGAATACGGCTCTTTTAAGCACAAAAATCTATAATATATCATTGATCCCTTGACCACACATTCTTCCCAATACTGCTATTGCTATCACTGGCCCATGCAAGATCTTCTTCAGCATTGCATGTGTGTCGGTAGGATGTACTGCACCTGCACAAAATCCGTAATGTATTGTGCATAGCAATTCTGCAAAACATTTCATTCTGGTTGTATTCATGTAGTATTTAAGGATCTTGTTTACAGTTTTGAAATGTGTTGTAAAAGATATTAATAATAATAATCATCTGCAATGATCAAAATTCTGTTTCAAACTTGACCAAACGTTCAAGAAGACCCGTGAAAAATCTGGGTTTCGCTCAGGTGCAGTATGTTCTGCCGACGTGCTTTCTTCTTCAGTGTTCCACAGCTGTCTCAAATATAGTCTCTCCTAAAGCCTGATGGCCCAGGGTTTGAAGCTTCCAGGTTCAGCTGCAGGGAACTACAAGGGAACAGCAGGAAAAGACATTGTTGAAAAACATGTACTGCTGTATACTTCTTGCAACCTAGCACTGACAATGTAACGCAGTTGTTTTACTCTTTAATGCAGCTAATCATAATGTACTTGGTATCAAAATTTGGGAATAAAAAAAACACACACTGCCAATGTAGTACAGGGAAAAGCTTTAACAAGGGCTTAGTTAATGTATTTTTGTGACTTTACTCAAGACATCAAAATGTAAAGAACAAGGACACAAGAACTTTGTGCCATGGTAAGCCTAACATTGAATCTGAAATGTTTTTATTCATGAATGAGTCCCATTGTGCTACAGCTAGAGAATGCTTGACGAAGACAAACCTTGAACAAGTTTAAAGTTAAAACATTTGGTCCAACACAAAAAAGTTCTCTCACCTAGAGCTTTTGACTAGTCACTCCGGTCTTCCTCAGTAGACTGACCCAGTGAGGCTTGTCACGTGGCTTCTAAGTTCTTTGAAGTGTGACGTTGCAGTCTACTAGATACCTTTGACCCAGTGATGATGTCACACAGTCACACTTCAAAGAAGCCACGTGACAAGCCTCACTGAGTCAGTTTACTGAGGAAGACCAGAGTGACTGGTCGAAAGCTCTAGGTGAGTGAACTTCTTTGTGTTAGATCAAAACGTTTAAGCATAAACATGTAACTACCAACTTTGTAACAAAACCATGAACAAGACTACGTCCCTACCTGTGCAGTAAACTGGTCCTGGCAGGCCATGTACAAGAAAACCTCCCTACCTGTGCAGTAAACTGGTCCTGGCAGGCCATGAACAAGAAAACCTCCCTACCTGTGCAGTAAACTGGTCCTGGCAGGCCATGAACAAGAAAATCTCCCTACCTGTGCAGTAAACTGGTCCTGGCAGGCCTTGTACAAGACTACGTCCCTACCTGTGCAGTAAACTGGTCCTGGCAGGCCATGAACAAGAAAACCTCCCTACCTGTGCAGTAAACTGGTCCTGGCAGGCCACGAACAAGACTACGTCCCTACCTGGGCAGTAAACTGTCCCTGGCAGGCCATGAACAAGAAAACCTCACTACCTGTGCAGTAAACTGGTCCTGGCAGGCCATGAACAAGACTACGTCCCTACCTGTACAGTAAACTGGTCCTGGCAGGCCATGAACAAGAAAACCTCCCTACCTGTGCAGTAAACTGGTCCTGGCAGGCAATGAACAAGACTACGTCCCTACCTGTGCAGTAAACTGGTCCTGGCAGGCCATGCGGATGCGCTCGGCCGTTGCGGGGCTGTCCAGGCGGAACGTGCCCTTCAGCCCCGCGTCCGCCCGGGCAGAGGAGACGGCGTCTTTGATGGCGAAGAAGACGGACGAGGCCAGGAAGAGCGGAGGCTCTCCTACAGCCTGGGGATGGAGGGATATCATCATCATCATCATCTAGGTTACCCCCAGATAACCCCACGAGGGGTGCCGTTAGGGGGGAAGAGGAGGTCAAGGCTAAGGCGGGCAGGCCGCCAGCCCGGCCCGGAACGACTCAACATTGGGAGCCATATCTACATAAATTCCTGAATATGGACAGGAGTTAGTGATGTTCAAACTTCAAACAGTTAGAAATGCTTCTGTCATGTCTGTAATTGTTGAATGCTGCAATGCTCGAACAAAACTATATATTACAGAAGTCTTGGGTGACTTGTCTTTGATCAACTTAATTTCTTACTACTCGGATTTCCTTTATTTCACCTTCCTTCCCAGTAAATTTCTGGCCGTAGATATTGGAGACTTAAGAAATTTAACTGGCAAGCAATTACACCACAGGGTGTCTGCTACAGCAACAATTACCATGGTGACAGCAGATTGGTCCAGGCAATAGACCTACATCTTGTATGTGTTTAAATAATGAAAAGAGGAAGAAACTGAAAAAACAATATATCTTTCCTTCTGCGAAGGTAAACGTAACAACCAGGCCTACCTTGGATGAGAAGATTGCCTTGTCGTTGGGCGCGCCTCTCAGCAGGGACACGTTGAGTTGGACGGGGATGTCGGCAAAGCCGGGAATCTTGTACATGCCGGGTCCTCGTGAGTACAGCACCCCATCAGGCGAGTAGACCTGCTCCTCCATGGTGAACAGGCCGTAGCCCTGCACAAACGCTCCCTCAATCTGGGGAAAAATTCAGCAGAGTTACTGCATCTCTTTTTCATAGGGCATAATCCGGCCTGTTTAGTCTTCGTAATAAGGCAGTCGCCGAAAACTAACGTAATTCATAATCAGTACATTAGCTGCAATGCATAATTTGTTCGTAATGCTCCTTCAATCTGGGGGACAATTCAGCAGTTACCAAAATCCATAAACAACTGTGACAAACAAGGTAACGCAAGAGAAATATCTAAATTAGCATAATGTTTGCCTAATCCCATTGTGTAGCCAACAAACTACTGCTCTGTTTATTTATTTATACCTAGTGGCCCTGGTACAACAGTTGTGTATCAGGAATGATAACTTACAAGTCATCAAACCACTAAACTATGGGCCATTGAGCCTGAAATAAACAATAAATAAACATCAGCTGAAAGACAGCAAACAGGTGCTCCGGGAAGAGTAGTGAAGTCAATATTAATAAATATAATGATTGTACTGCATGTCACTACAACCTGAAAAAATCAGGGTTGCCATTACAAATCGGGTGGCACCCAGGCTACTGTCACTATGAGACCGAAAGAAACAGATTATTTCAGACAGTTACAACAATTTCTCCATCCTTTCGTCATTTAGAAGATCACCAAAAAACTGCATTTCTACTAAGATCACAAAACCCACTAATTATGCAGAATGTGGGACACTGCATTCAAAGAAGAAGTCGAACCCCATAATAGCTTAAGCGTAGTAGTAGAGGTAGAAGTTTTTTTCCAGACAGTTGTTACGTGACCTGTCTCCTGTTACTGTATTGCAATAAGTATTACAATTATACTTGATTGTAAAAGCAATTAGCCTTCGGGCATGATTTTGCAAATAAAGTTCCTATCTTACTAATGGAGCCACAATATGCAATAAACCATATTCTACTCTTGATTCTCTCAACTTAAAAAAGAAAGGACTGGACAGTACTTCAATGAAAAGTATTCTGCCACCACCGTACCTGTCCAATGTCTATAGCAGGGTTCAGGCTGTCTCCCACGTCCATCACAATGTCTGTACGTAGAACCTGTTAATGTGTAAAACATTATAGAACATCTTATTAAGTTATCAGTGGAATTAAAGGTCAGAATGAAGAATAACTAATGTGTTATACGTCAATGAAGATTAGACATCCAGGTACAAATGGGATACACAAGTTGTGCAATACTGAAGCAGATAAAGATTTTGAAAACTGAAAAGTACTGACAGTTTTCAAAATCAATCCAGCTGTTGGGGTAACATCTCCTTGCATATCTTGTGTTTTAGTCAGTTGGACTCTTTTTAGGGGCCCACACCCGAGACTGAAGACATTTGTGACATGCATATCATCACAAACCGGTGTATAACTAGCAATGTGTGCCCGATGACTCTTTCTAAGGGCCCCGCACCCGACACTGAAGTAATTTTTAATCTTCATGATGTTACATGATGGTGTATGACATGACGACCCCAAGTTGTATCTATAAACACATTTCAGGGGAGCTCCCTGCAAGCCTTTTGTGTACATTACCAGTAGAGTAATTGATCTGTAATGTATTTGTACCTCCGGTATATGTTTCATTTAAAGACTCCAGGAAGAACAGCCTTTGTATTTGAATTGTATGAAAGCTCAAGGAGTCAATCAAGCATCCAAGTAAGTATTTGGTCATCAAGAGCCCGAGTGTTACCGTGTGGTCTCCTGTGAGGCAGTCAATCTCGACCTCTGACACGGCTGCTCCGTAGCAGAAGTAGTTAAAGGGTCTTCCTTCGTTCTTCTGCATGTCGTAATCTAGTCCTGGGGTCCTGAACAGACAACAATGTAAGTCTAAGATTTGCATCAGTCAAAGTGGACAAACATTCACAACAATGTAAATATGAAATGCCTTGAATCTGTATAGCCGGTATAACCGCCCTTTGGAATAACACATCAGCTTCTGTATCTGCGTAGCCAGCATAACCGCCCTTCGGCGTAACGCACCAGCTTCTGTATCTGTATAGCCGGTATAACCGCCCTTCCGTGTAACACACCTGCTTTTCAGGCACGCAGGTCAGTAGCATCTGGCTATATCACACGACACAACCTGTTACACCTAACCTTTGCAAATCTAACTGCAGGAGTTGTTCAAAACTATCAAGTGATGATGCCCCTACTGTACTTGGTGGCAACAAGTTCCACTCTACAAATATTATTACTTCTAGAAAAAAAGTCCCAGCCCACAGACCTGTAGAAGCCAGTGGCATGGCGACAGCTGGCTATAGTAAACTGAACAACCCGTTACACCTAAACGTTGCACGTCTAACAGTAAACATTATAAATTATGAAGCTATCAAGTGATGATGCTCCTACTGTACTTGGTAACAGCGAGTCTACAATTAGTTGTAGGGAAAAAGTCCCAGCCCACAGACCTGTAGAAGCCAGTGGCTGACAGACCGACTCTGTCGAAGTACGCCGCCCGCACCCAGTCCTCCCAGGAGCCTTTCCCCATGTACGGCTCCAGTCGCTGCAGGATGGTCTCACAGGCAAGCTGGGAAACAGGACATGGATCAAGCTGTATAGCACATGTAAGAAACAGGGAGAGCCAGTAAAAACCCCTCTGGTCCCTGGCCGAGGTTCGAACCCACGACCTCCTGGGCCCCAGTCAGACACTCCTTACCTCTCCGCTAAAAGGTCTAGACCCGTTTGCCGGATCTGTTGGTAGCGCCTATAAACCCCCCACTGTTACACTACTTTTACACACATAACACAGTGTCATTCCGAGGATGCACAGTCAAACCTGCCCAAGAAGGCCATCCAGGGGACCGAGGTAGAGTGGCCTTGGGTGGGTCGCTTATGCTTGCACTTAATAATGGAAAAAGACAAATTTTGGGGAGTGGGAAAATGTGGTTGTTATGGAAAGGTTGAAGAGGTGGCCACTTTGTCAGGTTTGACTGAACTTGTATACTGCAAGTCTACTGATCTACCGCCCATAATGACTAAATCAACTAAATAACTGCCTATGTGCTAGAATTGCTCTTTAGGTTTCTCATTCTATTAGACTGGGTTCCAACCTCTGTGCTTACTCTGTACTAGCCGCACTGTAGTAGCAAGCAACAGTAGGGAGCTTTCGGTAACTACGAACATGGAGGTAGAAAAATTTTTCTACCTCCATGCTACGAAGGATGGCACCTGGGCTATCATTCTAAAAGGCAAGAGACAAAACAAACTGTCCTCAGATCACACCTTGACTGCCATCCCGTTGAGATCTGAGCTGGCACTGGCAGCAGTTGGGGATGTGTTTGGTACGGTGTTGGTGCTGGTCTCGCTGATGTGGATTTTGGAGGTGGGGATCCTCAGCACCCTGCTGGCCACCTGCACCATCTTGGTGTGCAGACCCTGCCCCATCTCTGTTCCACCGTGGGTCAGCAGCACGGACCCGTCCGTGTACACGTGCACCAGGGCACCGGCCTGTTGGGGAGGCAAGACAGGAACATCACACATGCACCAGGGCACATCACACATGCACCAGGGCACATCACACGATGCACCAGGGCACATCACACATGCACCAGGGCACATCACACATGCACCAGGGCACATCACACGTG